TTAAAGTTTTCTTTTCAGTTACTGTTTTGACAGTAAATTTGCCAAATTCCATGTTAAAGTGTTTACAAGGCATTCTTTGGAATTTAAAAAAAAATTTATTCTTTGGAATTTTTAAAGAAAGTATTTTTTTGGGGTACTGGGGATCGAACTCAGGAGCTTCTGCTTTTGAGGCAGGTGGCACCACTGAGCTAAATCCCCGGCCTAAAGAAAGTATTTTTTAATATCTTCTCCATACTACATTTCAGGAAAATACCTTAATTTTGCCAGACTGTTTTATAATTTGAATATAGAATGAATTCATACATTAAAAAAATCTTACTTTGTAGCTTGATAGCCTGCTATATAAAGCTTTTTGGCCTTACGGAGTCAGTTAAAAAAGTCCAGCATAACCACTATCACCAAAAGCAGAATTCATGACAAAAAAATTGGTAAGTTGGAATTCATTAAAAACTTAAAAGGTGGGTTGGGGATTCAGCTCAGTGGTGCCACTGCCTGCCTCACAAGCGAAGGTCTTAAGTTCGATCCCCAGTACCAAAAACAAAAAATTTAAAAGGATAAAAAGATAGTGGCAGATGCTGGCAAAAACCATATGCATATATATATATACATAGCATATATCTGATAAAGGATTGGTATCTGTAATAGATGAAGAATTCTTCATACTAAACAATACGAAAACAGCCCCTTTAAAAAGAAGCAAAGACATGAGCAGACACTTTATTACGAGACATAAATGGCAAGCATATGGCAAGATGCTCAACATGCATGCCATTAAGAGTATTTCACATTAAGACAGCAGCACTACACCTCTATTAGAATGGCCAGAATCCTGAATACTGGCAACACCAAATGATAGCACAGAGCTCTCTCATTCCTTACTGTGGGAAAGCAGAATGGTATAGCCAATTAAGACATTTTAGCTGTTTCTTACAAAGTATACATACTCTTATGTATGACCTAACCGTCACACTCCCCAAGAGCTGAGAATTTATGTCCACCCAAAAAACTCCCAGACGTGGTGGTGTGTACCTGTAATCCTAGCACCAGGGAGATTGAGGCAGAGGATTGCTGTGAATTCAAGGTCAGCCTGAACTACATAGCAAGACCCTTTCATCAAACCAAACCAGAACAAACCACACCACACCACAGACTTTAGTGGTAGATGCATACCATTTTTCAGAACCCACAGAATATATATGAATAATAAACTTTATGTAAACTATGAATGTTAATTAATAATAGGGGAACTATGGTGAGGAGTATGTGGGAATCTCTCTACTTTCCACTGTTTATCTGTAAACAAAACCGCTAAAAATATAAATTTATAGAAAAAAATGCTCAATAGAAAACAAGATACTATGCATACACATAGCTTTACTTAAATATATTCCACCTGTTGCATAAAGCTAATTTTACTAAGTAGAGCCAATTAGTATATTTTGAAGGTCAGTTTTTTTCAAATATGTACATACAGCTGTTACTTGAAAAGTTTTTTATATGACATTAGGAGATCAGAGTTAGTTTTTGTTGTTTTGAAAGCATTAAGTGTACACTATTGTTAGATATTATTAGATTTTTCTTTTTTACAGCTCATCTCACTTATTTTGAAATAAAGCCTAATCATCCCATTGCAGTGATGAGGAAACGCAGACTCAGAGAAGCAGCAAAGTTGGCACTTGAATCAACTCCTAATTCCAAAGTCTGTGTGTTTTACACTCCTGGTAATTCCCATAGATTTATTTTTTGAAGTAAAAATAGCTAAAGTTTGTTCCTTAATGTAAATGCTTTTCTAGACAATATTAAAAGAGATTATCTAGATTTGACTACTGTTTACTTTCTTTGTGACTTAGGTTGTATTATCTTTATGCTTTAGTTTCTTTAGGCATTAAATAGAGATAATAATTGAGATTGTTGTGAGCATTAAATTAGTTAAATGTATGAAAAACTTTTAGAACAGTGCCTAGTACAAAACTGAATGAGTTCCATAAGTTATTTATTAATTAGTAATGGAATATTTTCACATCATTTAGATAAAGGACATGAACCAAGGAAATGAAGTAACTTTCTGAGTCATATAGCTATTAATTGGAAAAGTCAATTTAAAAAATTCAAGGTTAGAATCTTATTCACCAGCAAGAACCCAAGTTCGCCCCCCAAAAAAAAAAAAAAAAAGAATTCACCAATTTTTTTTTTCTTTTTTCTTTAAGAGCAGGTCTTGCCATGTAGTTCAGGCTGGCCTTCAGCTTGTGGTGATCCTCCTGCCTCAGCCTCTTGAGTGCTGGAATTACAGGCACATGCCACCACATCCAGCACTTAAGCATTTTTTAAAAAAGGAAAGAAACAAAAAAGCTCTTTTTAAAAATACTTTTTGGTACCAGGATTGAACTTGGGTCCTTGAGCTTGCGAGGCAGGCGGTGGAACCACTGAGCTAAATCCCTGGCCCTAAAAATATTTTTAAAAAAACCAATAAAAAGTATTTGCAGTTTCCCATCTGCTTAGAGCATTTCAGGTATTGTATGTAATCCCGTCCCCAACCCCATCAACTTAATATAGTGGGGAAAAAGCACTGGCTTGGGACGGTGGTGGTGAACCTGTGGCACGTGTGCTGCAGTAGGCACATGTAATCCTCTGTTGGCATGCAAACCCAGTGTATGAGTTGTTTTTTCTAAACTAAAACCTCAGGATTCAGGTTTAATTGCAGTGTTGGCACTTTACGATAAATAAATGGGTTTGGGGTTGTAGTTTGGGTACTTGGTTTCTAAAAAAGGTTTGCTATCACTGGCCTAGGATGTAGATTCTAGACCATGTCTTGTCTCTGGTTGGCTGTGTAACCTTAATATCTGACTCTGTTTCATTTATAAAGTGGGGGTGGGTTTGAGTTAGATGATTTCTGAGTTCATTTTATAGCCTGATAGAATGTGATTCTGAGCTACTGTGCCTGCTGCTGTTGTGTATTGCACTATACTGACATACTATGACACAGAGGTTCTTGATATATGCACAGGGTGGCCACTCTCTATGTTGAATGACTATGTTGATCATGATTTCTCCACCACACCAGACTGTCTTAGCATTGTTTTCACCTTTTCTGGTTTCAGTCTGCTTTCTCAGTGTGGCTGAGTTATTGTATTGGCTTCCCCCTTTTGTAAAGTTTGTAGACTTTCAGTTTCAACTGGCCACAAACAATGTTTTCATTTTGTTTGGCAACTAGATTTCACAGCTAATTACTAAATGAATCCCTAAAAATCAAATAGCCCTGGGAATGGGAGATGCCAAAGACTCTCTAAAGTTGTGTAGTATAGCCATGGTGTGTGTGTGTGTTTGTGTTTGCACAGGATTAGGGATAGAGCCCAGGGCTTTTTGCATGGTTGACAAGTGCTCTGTGTTACTGAGCTATGACCCAGCCTTCAGCCTTTTTTTATTGTATTTTGAGACAAATTTTCATTAAGTTGCTCAGGTTGGGATGAACTTGTGATCCTCCTGCCTTAGCCTCCTGAGTAGCTAGGATTATAGTTACATGCCATAGCACCTGGCTGTGTAGTGTAAACTTACATGGAAGTATAATTTTTCGTGACGAAAGCATTTTTTAGTTATCTCTTACCATGGGGACTCACAGTTTAGTTTTTAATCTAATAAATTATACATCCTATAAAGAAATTATAGCACTTTTGCTTGTAACACAATCCATTTTGGGGTGGGTACTGGGGATCGAACTCAGGACTTTGCACTTGTCAGGCAGGCATGGTGCTGCTGAGCTAAATCCCTGGCCCTGTGATCCATTTTAAAAAGAACCTGTACAGTTAAAACATATGCAGGTGAAAAAAAAAAACAAAACAAAACATATGCAGGTGTGCGGCACAGCACCACTGAACTAAATCCTTGGCCCTATGTACTTAAATCAAACTTCACTAGCATAATTCAAGAGAATTTTCCAAGCCAGTTAGGAAAGTTGGTTATAGGATGCAAACAGTTTGCATATTGGTCATAGTTGAGTGCCATTTGACTATAGTTATGGGTCTGTTTTCTCATTTGAAATATCAAGGAGAGCTAAATATAACATGCATAACTTTTATAGTCCTAAAATCCCCCAAAAAATTTCTTAAGAGAACAACTAATATTAAGAAATTGTTGCTAGGGATTTAGCTCAGCGGTTTGGTGGCCTGCCTTGGCAAACGCAAGGACCCGAGTTCAATCCCCAGTACCAAAAAAAAAAAAAAAAGGAAAGAAATTGTTACTGTTAATAGTCTTTCAAGGGAATTGCTTTATTTCAAGAAAAAAATTTAGACAAAGAGAAGGCTGTTTTCTTTGTGAATTTATGTGGTATGTAGCATGTAAGTTATTTCCTTTGATATCTGTGTTAGTAAAGAGCGTTGTGAGCCAGGGATTTAGCTCAGTGGTACCGCACTTGCTCACAAGCACAAGGTCCTGAGTTCGATCCGGGTACCAAAATAAAAAAATAAAAGAGTGTTGTTTTGGTATTAGTTCTTGTTTGTTTATACAGGTTGGCTTAAAACATGAGGATTTCATTAATACTTAGAAGTTACCTCTACCTTGTCTGGAATGTAATACAGTCTCATAAAGGTGTGGCTACAGATGGCAGCAGAATGGTGATTGTGGCTTCTGAGCAGAAATAAGCTGTGGGATTTTGGTGAGGGGCATGCAGAGGTAATGAAATCAGAGTCTAGTGTGATTCTATAATTCTGGCCTAGGGGTGTGTTGGGTCTTTTGGGAGTTGGTGGCGTGGGGGTGGAACCAGTAAAGCATTTTGAATTTTAGGCCTGAAAATAATTGAAGGGCAAACATTATGCCACCCTATACTGTCTAACAGAAAAGCAACATGAGAGAGCTAATGGTATTGTAGTTTGAGGTGCCTTATCTTTGGAATTTTCACATAGGTCTGGCTTCATACCAATTTCTTATTGAAAATCTGATACAGCTGGGCGTGGTGGCACACACCTGTAATCCCTGCACTCTGGGAGGTTGAGGCAGGAGGATCGCTGTGAGTTTGAGACCAGCCTGGACTACACAGTGAATTCCAGGTCAGTCTCAACTACATAGTGAGACCCTGTCTCAAAAAAAAAAAAAAAAAAAAAATCTGATGGTTAGTTTCATCATTACTGCCACCAGGAGCAGTATTGCTCTTTTAGGTGGTGGTCGTTGAGTGTAAATCAGCTAGCTAGCTGTCATGTTGTGGCCACAGAAAGGGTTGATTTTGGGGCCATCTCACTTAGGTTCTTGGGCCCAGGCCTTCGAAGAATGTTAATTTTTTGTTTGAAATGAAGTAATTTTCCTCCATATAATTTGTTTCTTTTAAATCAGTGACAGGTTTATAGGCTCTGCACTCAGATATGAAACTTGTAACTTTTAATCATTTTGAAAAGTTAGTTTTCCTCTTCTCTTACAGGTGTATTCCAGAGAAAAGTCTTCAAACATCTTTGCTGTATTTGATGCTGAGTGACTGTCAGGGGACTCAGGCTTATGAGGAGGTACTGTCACATAGAACAGTGTCTAGTGAAGACGACAAGAAAGAGAGGAAAAGATCGGAAAAAGAAGCTAAAATACTATAGAAAACCATGGTATGTTACTACTTACATCTTCTTAATTTCTTACATAAAAATGATTCTAGTGATTGAAAATTAGAAGCAGTGACAGGGTGTGGGAAAGCCAGTGGCGTTAATTTTTGGCTGTGGTGTATCAGATAAAGGTGGCACACTACTATTTAAGCAAAGCAAATGAGTTGAGATTTATGACTGAGCCCTTTAAGCCACAAGATGGAGCCCCATGAGCTTGCAGGCCATAAATTATTGAATACAAGGACGGAATACTCATAAATAATGTTTTATAATAAAACTTGTATTAGCAAACCAATACAGACAGCTAGGTGGCCTTGAACTTGAAATTAACTTTTATTAGTATTCTACCTGAAGTTCAGATTTTTCCCCATGGAAATTAAAAATCTTGAACCAGTCTTTTAATTGGTTATATGAATGGTGCAGGAGTTTATAAAATATATATTTAACTCAAAAAGTTACCCGTTTACGTGTTTTTGAAATAACAGGGTAAAGGTTGTGTAGACACGGGCTACTGAGCTAAAATATCAAGGCAAGCTTGCGATTTGATGACTGTTCAGACTTGGATTTCTGCTATTAGATGAGGTCATCACTTAAGTTTTGAATTGGTAAAATGTGCTGCTTTTTTCTCCTTAGTATTTTGCATCTGGAAGACATTGTTTATGTTTTTCCTAAGTATAATGAGAAAGGATTTAAGAAAGACATCATGAGTGGGGAAAAAAGCACAAAATATTAATTGTTGATGTGTTTGGAATATGTTCTTTAGTAAATCTGATGGTGTATCTTTTAAGTACTACTTGCTTTTAAAAATATTTGTGCCTAAAATCACAATGTTAACTTGCTCTTTATAGAGAGGGAATACTAATATCTTAGATCTGAGTGGTGGGTAAAAGAGTGTTAACTTGGTGGTTTTTTCTGTCATTTTAGTTTCATGGTGAAATGTGAAAAAAAATACGTTATGACTTGTGTTGTCTCCCATGTGAAGTATCTGCCCTTTTGGCTTTTTTTGTTTTTTATATTTGGAGACAGGGTCTTACTATGTAGTTCAGGCTGGACATGAACCCACTGTGTAGCCCAGGCTGACCTTGAACTCATTCATGGCAACCCTCCTGACTCAGCTTCAGGCTTGTTCTTTATAGTCTTGATAGATATATTGCTATATGTATATGTCATAATTTATAGAATTTCTTTTCTCATTTATTCTTTTAAAATTTAGCCTAGATTCTCTGGTGATTCTAAGTCGTTTTATTTATTTATTTATTTATTTATTTTTGTGCCAAGGATTGAATTTGGGACCTTGCGCTTGCAAAGCAGGTGGCCAAACCACTGAGCTAAATCCCTGGCCCTCTTAAATTTTTAAGTTATTTAATTGGTCACATTTTCCATTTCTCCTATTGCTTGTTGGATAGCTCTTAGATTTGAGTGAGAGTTCTTCTGATTTGATTTTTTAATACTTGAAAAAAATCTGTTTGGAGCTTATTTGTGTAAGCAAGCCCCCCCCCATTTCTGGAATAGACCATTGTGTCACTGCTTCCTATAACCATTATTTCATTATACTCATTCTGTCATGGCTCAGTAGACTTTTGGTTTTAACCTTGGAGTTTTTTCTTTTTCTTAACCTTTTTTTTTGTTTTTCTGAAAAAGGGTTTCACTACATAGTTCAGGCTAGCCTTAAAGTCTATCTCTATGTGGCCCAGACTGCCTTCACACTTGTGGTGATCCTCCTGCCTGCCAAGTGCTGGGATTACAGGTGTGCATGACACCACACCTTGCCTCTTTTATTTTTCTCTTAAAACTCATTGAAAGTCTAAATTAATTGTGAGACATCAAATGTTTGATTTTTTTTCAATTTTAATTTTTTATTAGTACATGATTGTAGTGCATGATGATTATATTCCTTGTGAGGCATTGCTACCTGTACATAATATATCTTAATTATTTTTTCATCCTCTTCCATTCCCTTCCCCTTTCCTCTCAAATATTATTATAATTCAGTAATACATAGTTTTGTTTAAATGGAACTCATGATATGTTTTGTTTTCTTGTTATTTGTTCTGGGGTATGTAAGTATATCTAGTGAAGCAATTAAAAAGGTTCTTTGTTGAAAAAGGTTCCAGTTAGAAGACTGGTCTGGATGTCAAGCAAGCAAGAAATCTAAACAGTTGGTTTTTATTGAGAAAAAAGAAAGCTTTATGATCAATATTAGTCCTGAGTTTATAAGATTGAGATTTATTATTTTTTTTTATTATTATTCCTGGGATTGAACTCTGGTCCTTGGACTTGCAAGGTAGACAAGGCACCACTAAGCTATATCCCCAGCCCTGATGATTGAAATTTTTAAAGGTTTACTACCTTTTCAGTTTTACTTTTTAGCTTTACTTTTTAGTGGGTCATGACACTATCAATTGTTTAGTCTCCAAATTACTATGAGTTTTTAAAAAAACAATGATAAAGAGGCAGGACTAATAATTGTGAATGTTTTATTTTGTGGTGAAGACTTCGAAACAAAATATTTATCATCTATTAGTACATAATTGCAGGTAAGTACAGACACTATCATGGCCCTTTAATGGAATACTTTGGATTTTATGGAAAACATACTGAATTACCCTTTTGCAGCTTGGTATACTGATAACAGGTATCTTCATGATATTTGTAAACTTGGAAATAGTAAAAAGCTTAACAGGTGTGGCTATAAGTGTGAAGGATCTACTCTGTTAAATTTTCTGAAATTCATTCTATTTCTGGACATTTGTCTATTCCAACGATTTCTGGGCCAGCATGTCATGATAATTGTTGCTTTTGAAAAGTTTTTGATATTTCATTGTAATGGTACAGTTCTTCCATCTTTGTAGACTATTTCTTGATTCTGTCATTAATTTTTGTTTTTCCAAATGAACTTCAAAATAATTATTGTTGAAGTTTAAGTAAATCATATCTCAGGAGTTTTTTTTGTTTTGTTTTGTTTTTTTTTTTAGGTCATGCTGTGTAGTTCAGCCTGGCTTTGAACTCACTATGGGGCCCAGGCTGGTCTTGCACTTGTAGGTGATCCTCCTGCCTCAGCCTCCCAAGTGCTGGGATTATAGGTGTCCGACCGTGCTGAGGAGATTTTGATTTAGAATAAAATATGTACTTGTGTAAGCTAGTTTGGGAACTTGTTTTACAGTATATGTTTTTCTCATTCTGAAATTTGCAATGTCTCATGTTTATTCTATTTGAAAAAAACTAAAGCTTTGCACCAAGGGTGTAAATGTCAAGTATCAAATAGTATTTCTGTGTTTCCCATAGTTTACACATAACTTTGTATTGTATATTTTGAACGGATTTGCAATCTCAAACTTTTAAGATGTGTGAAAGTCTTCACTAGTTTGAAAGGGAGTGGCTGGGTTTCATGAGTCACCATCATGCATTTCTGGAGAGTTCCTTCAACCTAGAAAGAACTGTTTCTTACAGATATCGTGTGATATGGATGACCTTTTCCTCCCTCACTCCCTCTTTCCTTTTTACTCCATTTTTGGGATCAAACCCAGGACCTCATACGTACTGGGTGTGCTATACCACTTAACTGTACTCCCAGCCTGGAAGACCTCTTTTGAAAAAGTATTCAGAACCATAGGTTCAGCTGCAAGACAGAGAGTATATGCACAGTGCTGAATATGACTTAAGTGAACCTTAAATGAAACGAGTGAATGACCATTGATATTCTGTTTTGGCAATATTAAGATGGGTTTTAGTTCCCATTCCTGAGCAATTTTGTTTTGATATCAGCTGCTTCATAATGGTTTGCCAGTGCTGTGGGTTGACTTAAAATATATTTGTATGCCATCCTTGTCAGGTGATATTTCCTTTACTGAAGTAATTGCTTCTTTTTCCTTCTGACAGAGATCTATTCGATCTTTTGCTAATGATGATCGCCATGTCATGGTGAAACATTCAACAATCTATCCATCTCCAGAGGAACTTGAAGCTGTTCAAAATATGGTGTCTACTGTTGAGTGTGCCCTTAAACATGTCTCAGATTGGCTCGATGAAACAAATAAAGGCACAAAAACAGAGGGTGAGACAGACATGAAGAAAGATGAGGCTGCAGAAAACTATTCCAAGTGAGTGTGGACTGGTCCTTATAGAGCTCAGAAAAGCTCAAAGATCCTTGAATTGAGTTTGTGATATGTTGTTCTTTGTGTTTTCTCAAATATGTGACTGTAACCAAGGAAGTAAATGTTATATGGAGTTTTTCTAGTTAAATTTGAAGGGAATGAAAAGAACAATGATTATAGCTTCAAAAAGAAAATGGAAAAAAAGAGAGTATGCAAAGTCTTTTCTTTAATGTGTGAAAGTTTTCATATATCATCTTTTTTACTGTGTTGGTTTAACTCCCTAAATTCTGAAAGTCATGATTTTTCAGGGAGGGGGTGATTCCTGGAGCAGAAGACTGGAAAAATGTATTTTAAATATATTTTGAATGAAAAAATATAGCACAGCATCTTGTATATTGCAAATATTCATTGTGTATTTGTGGAATGAAGGAAGGGCTAATAGCCAGAACCTTCAAGAGTTGCAATAGAATGTTCTAGGCATTGTCAGGATAGTTGTGGTCAGTGAGATGAAACTGCAGTGGTAAGTGTTACTGTTTGGAGCTGTGGCATATATTGACAGGAATATGCATATGACTGACTTTGAAAGATGATCATTTATTGATTATACCATATTAATAGGCTTAAAGATCACTTGGGTACAACTTTTGTAAATGGAAGATAGAAGTTAACAGAATTTCTTTCTCCAGCTTTCAATTCTAAATCAGTGTAATAAGTAGATGAGAGTAGTGTGAAAGTATTGACAAATTGGTTCTCTTCACCAAAACCTTTTTATCTTCAGTTGAAAGACAGTGACAGATTTTTGCTTTAGAAGGTGATTTTCTTTTTTTTTTTTACTTTTCACTGTAATTGTTCACAGGTACTTTATACATTGTGTCTGGCATCAGTTTGAAGATTCATGGAAGTGACTCAATTTTTCTCATATAGAATGGCTTAAAAAATAATTTTGGTTAGGCCTGATGGATGGCTCATACTCGTAATTCCAGCACTTGGGAGGATGAGGCAGGAGGATTGCTCTGAGTTTGAGGGCCAGCCTGAACTACATAGCAAGACCCTGTCTCAAAAAAAAAACCAAAAAAATGGTTTTACCCAACTTTGAGTTCATGTTAACTAGTCATATTATCCATCAATTGAAGCTGTGGTATTCTTCAGTGTCTAGCTCTCTATAGTCTATTTCCTGTGCAAGTTAGTGAAGTACTCTAGATTTTGATTATACTTTGGTATGTTTGTCTTTTGTGGGGGTGGTACCTGGGGGTCAAACTCAGGACCTTGCGCTTGCGAGGCAGGTGTGGCACCACTGAGCTAAATCCCCAGCCCTTGTTTGTCATTTTTTAAACTTTTAAAGTAGTAATTGTACATGTGTATAAATTGTGTGTATGTTTAAAATTTGTTCTTTTTACCTTTTCTTTTTCTTTTGGTACTAGGGAGTGAACCCAGTGCTTTTGCAGTGAGGTATATCCCCAGTTATTTTGGTTGTTTTTTTTTTTTTTTTTTTTTTTTTTTTTT